GGGTCGTATGGCAGTAAACAGGCCTTGTTCCTTAATGGTAGATCCCAAGAGGAGAAAGGGCTTAAAGATACAAAGCTACAGGCCTGGCATGGTGGCTCACGCCCATAATCCCAGCACTTTGGGTGGCCAAGGCAGGAGGATCGCTTGAGCCCAGGAGTTCAGAGACTGGCCTGGGCAACACAGGGAGACCCTGTCTCTACAAAAATAAAAAATAAAAAATTAGCCAAGCGGAGTGGTGCGTGCCTGTTGTCCCAGCTACCTGGGAGGCTGAGGTGGGAGGATTGCTTGAGCCAGGGAGGTTGAGGCTGTAGTGAGCCATGATCATGCCACTGCACTCAAAGCCTGAGCAACAACGCAAGACCATCTCAAAAAAAAAAAAAAAAAAAAAAAGAAAAAAGAAAACACTACATTTCTGATATAGCTTGCCTAGTTGCTTATCAGAAAGGCAATTTACACTTCTAAAGCATCATATGAGGCTCCCAAACTTATCATTCTCTTGCTAACATTGAATTTTTAAAAAAAGCAAAAAAAAAAAAAAAAAAAAAACCGAAAAAAAAAAACCTTCTGTAATCCCACCACTTTGAGAGGCTGAGGTGGGAGGATCACTTGAGCCCACAAATTTGAGACCAGCCTGGGCAACATGGCGAAACCCTGTCTCTACAAAAAATACAAAAATTAGCCTGTCATGTCTGTAGGCCCAGCTACTCAGGAGGCCGAGGTGGGGGGATCACCTGAGCCTGAGAGGTTGAGGCTGCAGTGATGATTGTGCCACTGCACTCCAGCCTGGGGGACAGAGTGAGACCCTGTTTCAACAAAACAAAACAAACAAAACATTAATCTCTCCTCACCTTGGTCTCCTACTTCTACTTCTGAATGCACCAGTTCAGTGTCTGTCTCATGCTTTTCTGACTATTCCACAGCATTTTGTCCTCAGCCCTCTTTAATGTCCCCCCAGGCATCTCAAACTCAGTGTGTCCCAAATTAAACTGATCTTCACTCCTACACTTGCTCCTGTTTTTGGTTAATGACATCATCAACCACCCAGGCACCCTAGTCAGAAAACTGAGTCTTTTAAGATGATTCCCATCTCTCATTTCCCACATCCAAAGACTCACTAAAGGTTTCAATTCCACCTCTTAAATCCCTCAAACACGTCCACTCCTCTGTCTCCACTGCCACTGCCCTATTCAAGCTTTTATTATTGCAACCGACTCATTAGTCTCCTGGCCTTGTCACCCTGCTCCATTCCATCCGACATCCTGCTACTAGAGTCATCTAAAATGCAAACCTGATCCTGTTAATCTCTGGATTCTACTTTCCTGTCCAACTTCATCCCCTGCCCTTCCCATCCATTTCCTTCTCTCTCTAGCCATACGGAACAACAGAATTCCCCACTGCCTTTGAACTTTTTCTGCCAAGAGTGTGGCTTTTTGCCTTATGAATTCCTACTAATCCTTAGAGAGCAAAGCAGCCCATCCAAGCACTCCAAATTACACTTATACTCAGCTTTATTATAACACTTAACATTGCAATTTTGCAATTTTTATTTAACAATCTCCCTTATTAGATGGAGATGCTCAAGGCTATGTCATTCATCTTTTCATTCCCAGCACTAGCAAAGTTTTGGGAACATAGTAGGCCCTCGGTATGTGGAATGAATGTTATTTCTGATAGCCATTTATTTCTTTGAGATGGGGTCTCACTCTATTGTTCAGGTTGGAGTGCAGTCTCTAACTCCTGGGCTCAAGTGATCCTCCTGCCTTAGCAGGAGTAGCTAGGACTATAGGTGCGTGTTACCATGCCCAGCTAGTTAAAAAAAAAAATTTGTTTTAAAGATGGGGTTTTGTCATGTTGCCCAGGATGGTCTTGAACTCCTGGGCTCAAAGCAATCAGTCTGCCTTAGCCTCCCAAAGTGCTGGGATTACAGGTGTGAGCCACCGTGTCCAGCCTCTGACAACAATTTAAAAATTTCTTTCCATCTTCTGACACTATGTAATTATTCACCAAGTTCTGTAAGTCTCAACTCACCTAATGTCTCTATTACCAAATCCTTCTCAATTCCCTATTTCTAAGGTCAACAAAACTATCATAATTGCATCCTGACAGGTTGGGCACTTCTCCATACTTGGCCATCTTCATTACTGCTGGTTATCTTTCTAAAACACACCTGGTTATGTTACCTAACTACTTAAAAAACAACTTTGGTCATTACTCATTGTGAGTTGTAGGTGATTATTTCCCAAGAACATGGAAATACATTGCGTTAAACTAAATAAATGAATGCATAATAAAGGAGACATAATACCCACCAAATCCAAGGCTTAAACACTTTGAAGACTGCATTTATAACAACAACTTTGGGAACCCAGCACTAGCTCAACTGTTTTTATTATTATTATTATTTTCCTTTTTTGTTTTTTTGAGATAGAGTCTTGCTCTGTCGCCAGGCTGGAGTGCAGTGGCGAAATCTCGGCTCACAGCAACCTCTGCCTCCCAGGTTCAAGCGATTCTCCTACCTCAGCCTTCCAAGTAGCTGGGACTACAGGCGCATGCCACCATGCCCAGCTAATCTTTTATATTTTTAGTAGAGACGGGGTTTCACCGTCTTAGCCACGATGGTCTCGATTTCCTGACCTTGTGATCCGCCCACCTCGGCCTCCCAAAGTGCTGGGATTACAGGTGTGAGCCACCGCGCCCGGCCCACCAGCTCAACTCTTTAGCCCTATCTCCTACTATTCTCCCTCCCTATACTCAATACCCACCCTGGTCACTATTCCTTAATGTAGTGCCCTATCTAGACTTCCCTGCCACCAAATTCCTACTCATCCTTGGGCCAGCATCAGATGTTACCTGGTTTCACCAAAAAATGGTATAATGGGGGCTTTAAACCCTTTCCATAAACCTCATCATTCCTGCCTAAGCAACCCAAATCAAAATAAAAAAAATTTTCATATGGATGATTAGAGTTTTGCAATCTCATGTAAACTATGTACAAAAAGCATCTTTAAAAAGATTTATATTTTTATTATCTGCATACTATCTAAGTAAAAGCAAAGTACTCGCTATACAAGTGCTTCTTCAAGCCAAGTCCCTTGGCTTAACTTCCAACTAGACTGCAGCTAATAAAACTCCGCCGTAGAAATTCTGAAGCAGTCACAGACTATTACTTGCCCTAAAAAGTTTTCTCTAACCTCTTCCTGACAAGCTGTCCTTCTGGACTCCCATACAAACAATAGTATAGTATGTCATTTTCTCCTTTGGTTTCTTCCACAATGGTAGTTCATCCAGGGTAAGTATTCTACACTAGTTTCCTCATGTGTAAAATAAAGATAAGATGACATATCTCATAGAATTAGATGTGTTAATGCATATTTAAAGCACTTAGCATAGAATCTAACATGTTGTGTGGTTCACAAAGAGCATGCTATGAAAACACAGTATGTCCTGAAATTCTCTGGGTGGTTACTACATAAGCAAAATGCCTTCCTAGTCAGTTATCTACTTGTAGATGTGATGCGAAACTCAGTAGATTTTAATGTTTAGCAGTTTAAGAAGATTTTAAGACCTTAAAACTGGGAAATTTTCAATTATAAATTTGTGAACTTCTGAGGAAGTTTACTGAAAATAACCCTTAAAAGTTTCACATTTGAAGAAAAAGAAAACAGTGTCTTGGGAATTTGTGCTGTCTTTAGACTCTATCATATAATACTTCTTTACACTGCAAACTATTTGTACTGCAAACTACCTGTAAGTGTATTTGATCTCAGGTTTGTGAGAAAAATAAAGTGTGTTGTGTGGTAGAAACAATAACAAAGTGGTATTATTGTGGGCTACAGATATTGAATCCTAGCCCACAAATTAGCTGTGGGATCTTGGGCAAGCTCTTCATTCCTCTGGGCATCAGAGCCCTTCTTTGGAATTTGAAGAGATAAGATGAAATAATCTCTAAATTCCCATCCAGCTCTAAGTAACCAAGTTTTTGTAATACCATATTTTGAGCTTTCTCTTATTCCTCCCATGTCCCCTTATTAGAAACTTTTTATTTATTTATTTATTTATTTTTAGGGCAGGAATCAAGTCTTACTTTCTTTACACCCAAGTGCCTAAATCCAGAGCCTGTTTCTTGACTTTGAATGAATAAGTTAGTAACTGTTTCTTGAACAAGTGCTCCTCTTCACAGGGCTAGTTTTAAAAAAGGCATAGTAAATTTATGGTATAATAGATGAGCAGCTAACCCTAACATAACTATGTTATTAGAACAAATAATTGTGCATTAATGACTTGGTATTCAATACAGTTATAGATCATATTATTTTTTGAAGACTTCACTAATTTAGAAAAGGGATTCTAAACTATTTCCTTACTTCTGACATATTTCAGAGAATTATGAGTCACAAAGCTTTGAGAGAGGCTTATTTATGAAATCCCATAATCCTACAGGCAATATCAAAATTCCAATATCAGGAATACCCAAGTACTCGCTAACAGGAAGCATTTTGTAGCAAAGGTTTTTATCTTTGACTTACTACCAGAATTACAGACTGAAAGACAATCTGACTGAGGAAATAAGGAACTGGCGTATACTGACACACCAAGAAAGCAAACATGAGTGTGTGTGTGCACATACATACACATACACACAATTTAAACTCCATAAGTCAGTTGCCTCATATACTCGTTTTCAAGTTTATATTTAGTGCTGGCTTATTGCAGGTGCAGTTCCAACATATCCCTAACATGGAATAGAAAATGGAGAATGAGCGACTACCTGTAAAGGAACAAGGACAGATTCTCTTCTCTGGATATATCCCCAAAAGAGAGAGACAGGAAATTCCATTTCTCTTGTTTCAGCAATGATGTGGTTGAAATTTGAGATGTACTTGCTTCAGAATTTCCTGGGCCTGAATTGTTGGGAAAGCTAAGATTTTTCCCAACACTCAGCTATCAGCCTCAATCACCTAAATGTGAGTTTGAATGTTATTCACAGAAAACTCTACATGAATGGACACAAGCACAGTAAGTTTTTTATTGTTAAATTACTATGTTACCATATGCAGAGCAAAAAGTAAAGGGACTGATCTACTTGTGCATTCACATTTTAAATTCTTGAATAATGAACAAGTGAACAAATGATCAGTTAGGAAAGGAAAACTGAAGCAAGGGTTTCCTTACAAGTCTTCTAATTTTTCTAATAATTATAGAAAACATGCTCAAAAACTTTAGAAAAACATTTTTCTGTATGTGATATTATTAATAAATAAACTATGTTTACCTCATTAAATTGGAAAGACTCAATATTAAGGAAAGTTTATATCTGGCTAATGCAATTATCATTTGGATATAATATAGGCATCAAAAAATAAAGGAGTGGCATAAATTTTTCCAAAATGTTAACACTTAATGCTGAGTTTCCAGTTCCAGAATTGTCCACTCCCCTTGAGGCGAACAATCTTCAGAGGAAAAACTAGCCATGGTGATGCTCGCTGAGGAATCATCAAGTGGAGATGTTAGTTCACTCCATCTGTTCAAAGTGTCAATATGTGCTATACCCTGAGGTTTTGAGCTATCTCGCGCTAAAAGTAGTGTCTGATTGATTAGATACTGTGCTAAATTTAAGTCTTCAGGAACGGAATTTGTAACATCTAAGTTTGAATCCTGTTCAGAGAGCAGTTGCTTTAGTAGTGTCCAATCTTGTTTTGCAAAATGTTGGTCATCTTCAAAATCCACATCTGTAACATGTGTTTCTGATTCCACTTTCTGCTCAAATGCTTCTATTACATCCATCTCATATATTGGAGACAGGGTTTTTGAAGGCCGATGGTCATACATGCAGGTTAGTGCCAGTGTGTCACAATCATCTATGTCTCCTGAAATAATTCATAATACTACACAATGTAAAAATTGCACGTTGGTACCCTTCAGAGTTTTGTAGAATATTAACACAATATAACAGTGATAGTCCAAAAAAAAAAAAAAAAAAAACACCACCACAATGGGAAAAATAACATCTATACAAAATTGACAAGATTTTTGAGGCATTTTTCTGTGTTAAAAATTCAAGGGTAACGTTTAGAAGCAAAATCAACATAGGCAACTAACAATAATTCTCCATAGTTTAATTTGAAAACTTGTGATACAGAAAACAAGTTATTTAAACATAAACATAGAATGTGCACATATATCTAATTCACTACAATAGAAAAAGAGAAAAAAAAAGACATAGTGTTTTGATGACTTAGGGTAAGTCCGTTGCAAAAGCGGGGGGGGATAAATACATTTCACCTAAAGGCTTATTTGTATATTGCACATGCAAAGGAAGATGCAAGCAAAGACAAACAAACAAAAAAGTACAACTTCAAAGACCTCCTTATTCTTCCGATTTTGCTGAACAGGAAACTACTGATCAGTATTTTTCTTAGTTATAATACACAATAGCTACTCAGTTAGCCACTATTGCGTATTTTAAATGTGGGTCATTAGTCTGAATTACTATAATAAGGAAGACAAAAAACACAAAACAATTAGACAGAAAATCATCTAAACAATATGAAATAAGCCTGGGCTTTTTTCATATATTATCATTGCTTCTAAATATAATCTCTTTTAGGAAATTTATCTTTTTATTTGAAAATTTTAGAATAGAGAGATCCTGAAAATTTTAATCTCTGTAAAATGTATATAAATTGTAAATCAATCTAGTTGTCAAAATAGTTCAGTGCTTTTAGTTACATATTACTAGAGTTATTGCACAGGCCTTTAATATACTATCAAGTCTATAAATCATATCCAATGTATAATAAAATTTCTAATAGTCAAGAATTCTTGTGTTAAATTATACATAAATAACTAAATAGCAGCAAACTAAGGTTTTCTATTTATTCTTTCATGTAAAATCTCTTAGTAGGTTAGCTCTATATAACAATCAAAATGTTTACTATATATTACTTCTTCATTAGGATTTTAAGTGAACAATAAAGAATGAGTAACTAGCTAGTTTTCATATTAAGAAATTTTTCATTTAAAATTTTAATCTGTTGCTTAAGTAATTATTCTATCTGACTAAAATATAACATTCAGGGCTTCATACAACTTTAAAATTTTATAAACTTATTTTCTTATGCATTTAGCATTTCTATTTCTGTACATTACCTGCAGATAAAGCAATATTAGCTTTTTCAGTAGCTGTAGAATGGCTCTCTTTCACTGGACCTTCCTGAGGCAGAACTTGACTCCGAAAGGAGTCTAGAGATTTTGTAGAGCTGTTCTTTGGTATGTCAGAATTGGGTTCTCTTTGATGAAGCTCCAAGTGACATGGTCTTTCTTGAGATTTTACATCACTATCCAAGAATTTGCTGCGTTGCTGAATGTCATTATCTACACTGCTTCCATTGTTTACTGTTTTATCTTCTGGAAGAAGCTGTCTGCCTCTACTGGATAGGACATCTATTGTGTTCTTTTTTCCTGTGGCTGAAACACTCTGTTTATTTTTTCTTGAACAGTCAATGCTACTAAGATCCAAGAGAGTGCTTTCATTTTTACATACACTATTGCCTTTATTTTGTTTACATTCTAAAATATTATTTTCACTTTCTCGTGAGAATCTGGAATAGCAGGTCCTTCCATGATGTTCATGAGAAATGCCATCAAAAACATCAGAAGGTGAAAAAGAATCTACAGAAGGCTGAAAGGGAGTATGGACTTCTCCTTCATCTGATCCCAGCTCTTCACATTCATCAACTGAAAGTAAAACTGACCTTTTAAACTTTTTATTTGCAGAAAATTCACGACTTTCATTTTCAGTTGCATCTTCAAAAGCTAAATTAATTATTCCCTGAAACTGCTGAGGAGCTGGGTTAGATACAGAGAAATTTTCTGCAACATTTTCAGCTTCAGATCTTTCATCCTCTGTTTCATCTGCTGAAGAAGATACTTGATCTATTTCCTGAGCAAACTGGACACTGCCTCGTGGAATATTTTCTTTTTCCCTAGGGTGAACTATTGTAGATCGAGACCAAATTTCTGGCCTTTTCCTAGGGATTTCATCATCACTTGTTGAATTAACTTGGAAAAGATCATTACTACTTTGCTTTTTCATTTTTACTTCAATTCTTAAATTACTATCATAAATTTTTAATTCTTCAGGAGTACTGGTATCACTGCTACTTCTTCCAAGAAAATCATGGCACAGCATAGTGCCACATTTAGAGATACCTCTGTCATTTGACCCATCATCATCCTGAGACCCTCCGGCATCATAGTCTTCAGATCTGGGCTTTATGTCATCGGAGGATGTGGTAGCACTGCCAGTATCAGATTCAGGACTCTCTCTCTGATGCAGAACACCAGTACTCAAATTCCAGTGACCCACAAATGGAGTTTCTGGAGTTTCACGGCTCTCTGGAGATTCTGATGTTTCCATATTTTTAGGAGAATTTTTTTCTGACAGCTGTCCTGAAAAACACTTGGAGGAAACATCTGAGTCTGCTGTAGCATGTTTGTCTTCATCCATAGCAGAGGCATCAGACAACTTACTAGAAATTGTCAGTCCTTCCAAAGGAACTTTCAATTTTTTGTCTTCTTGAGCAGAATTTAAGGTACCATTTGCCCTTTCAGGAATACACAGTGAAACATCTTCCACACATTTAATACTTGATTGTTTGTTTGTATCTTTTCTCCCTACTTGGTTCTCCCTATCTGATATCAAATGGATTTGCCCTGCACTTGTTGAGTCTAAAGCACAAACTGGATTAGAGTTCAAGGAATTTTCATTTGGATTTGGAACCATGTATTTTAGGGCTGTGGTGCTATACAATTTTGAATTTACATTATCACTCCCATCAGAATGACAACATATGTTAGCTACATTGCAATGATCTGTTTCGTTGTGATTGGGAAATTTTGTTTCACTTTTATCTAAACAAATCTGTTTGGATTCCAGTTTGTGTTTTAATGATTTATCCAGCTTTGAAATATTTTGGCATTCTAACACCAACTTCTCTTTTTCTTGATCATGTAATGGCTTTTGTGGGTCAAGCCTGCAGGATGACTGGAGTGCTTCTGCATCACTGATTTCAGATGCAAGATTAATGAGAGGTTTGTGAGGCTTCTGTTCAGAATCACTGTCCTTGTTGTTATTTTCACGCACATCATGAAACATACTTTTTTGGACAATAGATGTTTCACTTTTTAAAGGTCTTTGGGAGGAAGGATGAGTTTTTGACATAACCTGTCCAGGAAGCATTTTCTGTTTTGAATCTTTATTATTCAAAGTTTCACCTTTCTTTGACTGATTTAGATTTTTAGGCATTGCCACTATTTTTGCATTAACCTTAGGCAAAGCTGTGTGTACTTGCTTGACGATTTTTCTCTTAGGTGCTTGTTTCTCTGTAGGCATATTATGGTCCAACTTTGCCACATTTTCATCAGACTGCCTTGAAGAGACTGAAGATTTTACTGAGTTTGGTGACTCTCCTTGGGATCCTAAGAAAAGTAAGAGGGTATATTCAGAAATGTATTATCACCTCCAATTTGTGAGTAAAATTTAATATTTGTTTTAAAATTACTTCAGAAAAAATAAAATCAAGACCACAATGGAAGGGTAACATATCTATGATCAAATGGACAAGCACAGATTAGGAATTAGTTACATGATAAAATAAAAAAAAAATTTCAATTAGAAATATAGAGGGACTACTCCAGGGTCCCAGTAAAAATTACTAAAATAGGATCTCTCTTCCTCAAGTAAAGAGACTTGATTTTTATGCCAAAACTGGATTTGCAAAAATGTATGAGGGTAAAAAAATTGGATTTTCTTTTATCAAAGGAGCAAGAACGGTCTTCCGTTTGAAGTTTTCAGAGAAAAAAAAAACAGTGTGTTCTACATAGCTGAAAAGGAGAATCAAGCTAAATATAAAATAAATAGAACTGTTAAAATTGTTGCAGTTGTTTTCTTCAAACATGAATAAAACCAATTTACTCGTCATAACCAGATTATTACTACTTTAGCTCATTAGGGTTAACAACTTAGATCTCCAGTGGAAACTAGAACTGCTGACTGGAAAGAAGGGGATTAATTTGGGGAATCCATTTGTTTACACTGGTGAAAGTCTTAGAGATGATATTTTGGACATTCAAATCTGTCAAACAGAATTATCAAATATTTTTAAATGTTTAATATTTAGCTATTACTAGGATATGAAAATATTTTCTCTGCCTTATTTTTAATTGATTTTCAGTAATAATTCATAATCCAAATCAAAACTGTTTTTAGGATTTTACAAACTGCTTTTACATATGTGAATGCTTGATACATAAAAGCAATTTTGAAAATCAGTTATTATGTTAGAAAATTATGCAATCTGATCAGTACTCTTTTCCTTTTCAGAACACTGAAAACCAATTGACTCACATAGATTCTAGAAGGGAAATTCTTCCTCCTTATGTATCATAGTTGTTTAGACTGCATTATTATTATCTTTTTTTTTGAGATAAGAGTGTCGCTCTGTCACCCAGCCTGGAATGCAGAGGCACGATCTCGGCTCCCTGCAACCTCCGCCTCCTAGGTTCAAGCAATTCTCCTGTCTCAGCCTCTCAAGTAGCTGGGACAACAGGCACACACCATCACACCTGGCTAATTTTTGTGTTTTTAGTAGAGATGGGGTTTCACTATATTGGTCAGGCTGGTCTTGAACTCCTGACCTCAGGTGATCCACCTGCCTTGGCCTCCCAGAGTGCTTGGATTACAGGCGTGAGCCACTGCACCCAGCCTACACTATTACTTTTTAAAGAGTTCTTCAGTGCCAGTTTTACAAATGAAATTCCTATAATTAACAATGGAACTTTCAAGAAACATGGGCATAATATTTAAAAGGACCAGAAATGCAGCTAAACTAGTGACTCCCTTAATTATTTCTCTCACAAGAGACAATAAAACCAAACAGAGGCCAGGTGTGTTGACTCATGCCTGTAATCCCAACACTTTGGGAGGCAGACAAAGGAGGATTGCAGTGTGATCATGCCACTGTACTCCAGCCTGGGTGACAGAGCAAGACCCTGTCTCAACAATAACAACAACAAAACATCAAAACCAAACCTACATCCCAAAACACCTGTCTGAAAAGTATACAATCTCATCTCTATGGTGTGAAACAAACACAAAATGAGTAAAACCATATTTTGCTTATTTGCTCCTGAAGTTCCAAATCAGAGTTTGGCTTATCCAGTTTACACAAGGAAATAATTTCAAGATATCCAGTACTATTTCAGCTTTACCTTGAGTTTTAGTAAGATTAGATGGGGTACTCTTTGTCCTCTGCTGAGCTGCGCCATATCCATTGCTAGTTCCTCTTTTCTTCAAAATTGCCTGTGGTACTGGCTCACTATATCCTTTGCCACTGACCTTCTTTAGTACACTAAGAAAAATTATTTGCATTCAGTATTACACTGAGATTCCAAAACATGAACTTTTTAAAAGACCGATACCTGAAACAGTTTTTTTTCAAGAAATAAAAAATACATCTCTCCTGAAAATAGAAAAATCATATGCTCATAAGTCTTTAAGTTTGTAAAACTGTAGATCAAGTATAATAAAGCAATGCATAATCATATACCATAGTACACATTAAGATATTCTTTTAAATATTGTGCCTCATTTTGCATATACTAATTTCTTTTAATAAACTGTGTTAAATTATGTAAATACACTAAATTTTTTTAACAAAAAATAAAAGATATTTTAAAAATATTTAGCTAGCAGTTAGTATATAATTAACTTTGAGAGAAAGCTAACAGATAAGTTAAAACACTGAATGAAGACCTACCTGTTATTTATGTTAGTGTCTTGTTCATGAATACTTTTTTTATTGGAAGTTCCATTGGTAACTTTTGAAACAGGTCGAGATTTTATGGCTAAAAATTAAGAAAAAGTGAGTCATAAGATAGAATACATTAAATATGTAACAAATATGTATAAGTTTACTGGTTAGACACTATAAACAAAATGAAATATTAAAGTGGGAAGGACTACATTTTTTCTCAGCTTGCATAAGTACATATAAATAAGTATTCTGTTGGCATTTGAAACTAAATAAAAGCCCAAATACAGGTTTAGGTTTTTGTTTTTTTAAGGAACTTTAACTGTCAGGAGATATTAAAAATTACAGTGCTAAAACCCACCTACAGTGGAATTTTTGACACTATCTACACTGTTTTTCACCATCTGTGCTGGAGAATCACAAAAGGATAGTTTATGTCCAGAAGGCTTTTCTTCTCCTATTGATCCATTTTCTTTTGGTTCATCCAGACATTCAGTGGAAATTGAGAATTCCATACTTGAATCTGTGGATCTGCTAGAGGGTCCTGCGATGCTGAGGCATGGAGAATCCTTCCCTGTCGCTTTCTTCAAAGGCTTTGCTTTGGCTTGCACATTTAAGTTTCCTGTGAGTACCTTGGGTCTGGCACCTGTAATTTGCCCTTCCTGATTTCTCACTCCTTTTCCATTTAGTAAATTCTTCTGTCCAGTTGCTGCTGCTGCTGCTGCTGTTGCTGATCTTTCTACAACTTGTCTAGGTGACATGTTTTCCAACCGTGCATTATCACCATTTCCTGTTTTGGATTTTATTATAGTTTTGGGCTTTCCAGAAACATTTTTTCCCCCAGTTTTTAGTTGTTTTGTAATTTTAGATGCTATTTTTGTACCATCTTTTTCCTTTACATCATCTTGCTTCAGAGTTTTATTTATACTATTTCTATTGGTACTTGATGAATGTCCAGATGCTCCTAATCCATCGGATTTCATCTTTTTATTAGTAGAGAGATAACTCCAACACTCTTTCTTGTTATTTTCCCTCCAAGATTTGATTTTTATATCACCAGAGTCAGAAACTTGTTTCCTTTGCTATAAAGAAGAAAAAAAATACTTTGTAATTTGACTGAAATCTTTAACATATAATATTATGTGTTTCCAAAAACCAGTCTTTCAAAGAAGAAAAAAATAGAAAAGTTCAATTTTTGATTTAAGGTCAAAGCTTGAACTGTCTTTGATCATTTGGATCAAAACTTTGTCTCAGACTACCTTAATCAAATCTGAAATACAGCATAAGTGTTTATTTTAAAGGCATGCTATTCTATTAAATTAAATAAATAAATAACAGGAATGCTTTTTTAATGTATGAAGTTTTGGTATAAATTAATGTCTATAAAGATTCAGGATGCCTTGAGGAATGATAATATCCAAGATTTTTAAGAAGACTTACTCCCATGTTTTATACTACATCTTTTGTATACATCATCCCACTTAAACCTCACAACAGTCCCATGAAATAGCTCCTGTGGCTGTTTCTATTTCTTAGACAATAAATTGAGGATTAAAGTAGGTATGTGATTTACCCCAGGTCTCAGGTTGGTGAGGGACAGAACCAGGACTTGAACTCATGATTTAACCTCACACCGAAGTCATCTATATGGCATAATTTGAGGGAACATTATAAAGATTTTCAATAAAAATTCTCTCTTCAACCTTATCCCAAGTGCCAGAAATTTTATCATTAAAGACTTAATCCTCTGTGGGAAGAATACTTTACTTCTTGGAGTCCTTATTTAAAAAAAAAATTTTTTTTTAAAGCTCCTAGGAAGCACAGCACATCAATACACTACATCTGCAAAGCTTGGTTTTTGGACAAATAAGATACTAGTACAGCACTGGCTGGCTATAGGAAGTGAAGGAAAAGGGATCCTAAAAATAGTTGAAATAGCCTAAAAAGGGACAAATAAAATGGCACTGAAGATAAATGTACCTACTTCATCATTTTCCTTAGACCCAACCTTGATATGAAAGGGAACAAAGAAAATTTTTAAGTTGGTAGAAATTCTAGAATAATATTTTAAGATCATATTGTCATTCTTTTTTTTTTTGAGATGGAGTCTTGCTCTGTCACCAGGCTGGAGTGCAGTGGCCCAATCTCAGCTCACTGCAACCTCTGCCTCCCAGGTTCAAGCAATTCTCCTGCCTCAGCCTCCCGAGTAGCTGGGACTACGCCGCCACACTCGGCTAATTTTTTTTGTATTTCAGTAGAGATAGGGTTTCACCGTGTTGCCCAGGCTGATCTTGAACACCTGAGCTCAGGCAATCCACCTGCCTTGGCCTCCCAAAGTGCTAGGATTACAGGTATGAGTCACTGTGCCCAGCCAATATTGTCATTCTTTTTTTTTTTGAGATGGAGTCTTGCTCTGTCACCAGGCTGGAGTACAGTGGCGTGATCTTGGCTCACTGCAACCTCCGCTTCCCAGGTTCAAGCAATTCTCCTGCCTCAGCCTCCCGAGTAGCTGAGACTACAGGCATGCGCCACCACGCCCAGTTAATTTTTGTATTTTTAGTATAGACGGGGTTTCACCATGTTGGCCAGGATGGTCTTGATCTCTTGACCTCGTGATCCGCCCACCTGGGCCTCCCAAAGTGCTGGGATTACAGGCATGAGCCACCGTGCCCGTCCTATTGTCATTCTTTATGTAAGTATGCAAATGGTTTTTTTTTTCCCTTTGGAAGCTGTATGAGATTGTAGAGGTCTGAGGCAGAGCCTGTGCTCTCTTCATCTTTCATATCCCTCAGCACCATATCACATATTGGATACTCAAACAAACAAACAAACAAACAAAAAAAAAGTAGTGTTAACACTGGGCATATATTGTATATTTTGATATGCAGTTTAAGGTCTATTTTTAAATACGAAAAGCTTCCAATTACATTAAAAGTTGTCAAAGATAAAATAACATATGTGAATGTGTGTGCACACACAAAAATATATAATAAATAACTTGGTTAAATTTAGAAAAAAGGAAAGCATGGTGATAAAGCAACCACTAGATTCTTGTCCTAGTTTTGCTTCTAACCAACCTGGGACATTTCAGAAATTATTAACAGCTTTAGGTCTCAGCTTATGCCTGTCCACAAGGCAGAGACTGGTCCTATTCACAGCAGTCTTCCAGGATTCCATTAAAAAGTTCAAATAGACTTAGTCCTCATTTTTTGTTTTCTTGCTCAAATCTTAGCTCAAAACATAACATTTCTCTATTTTTAATACCTAAAGCCAGGCTGACTTCTGCTTTTAGAACTCCTTCCCACCCTTAACACTAACTCTACTTAATTTATTCTATCCTTGAATTTATGCATCTTGAAGTATTATGCTATGGGTGAAATCTATATAGTATACGGTATAGCTCTATGCCTTGAAAAATTTCACAATAGGCCAGGTGTGGATTGCTTGAGCCCAGGAGTCTGAGACCAGCCTAGGCAACATGGCAAAACTCTGCCTCTACAAAAAAAAAAAACACAAACATTAGCCAGGCATGGTAATTTGGGCCTATGCCAGCTATTAAGGAAGCTGAGGTGGAAGGATCCCTTGAGCCCAGAAGGTCAAGGCTGCAGTGAGCCGTGATTATGCCATGCCACTCCAGCCTGGGTGACAGAGTGAGACCCTGTCTCAAAAAATGGGAAAAATTAAACATAATCAAAAGAAGACAGAAGAGTATAATGAATCCTCACATACCTAATAGCCAGCTCTAAAAATTATTAATTATTAATTCCCATTTTGTTTCATACACATCTACTCCTATTTTATTTTCAAGCAAATCCCAGATATCATATATTTTATTCTTAAGTACTTTGGTACTAAGCATTCTTCTTAAATTGCTCTATGATGGAAAAATGAAGCAGGCAACAACCACCACCACAACAAAACAAACAAAAAACCTCTTCCCTGTCTTATCTGATAAACTTTCTCCCACCTCCTAGATAGCTCATCCCTGTTTGGAAAACACATTTATTTGCTCCACATTTATTGAGCACTTACTACATAATACTAGGTAATTGCACATAAATTATTTCACGTAATTTTCACAATAATCCTGTGAGGTTTTATTACTCCATTTTATAAATAAGCAAACTGAGACTCACAGACGACACATAATAAATGTAAAGCCAAAATTTGAACTCTTTATTTTATGTCCAGCATCCATTTCAGCATATCACTGTCTTTCTGGGGGAAACTTACTTCCTTCCCATTGGGAAGGAAACTGTTTCCTTCCAACTGTTCTTAACAGAAAAAAGACTTAGACAACCACAAAGTCAGGAGGATGAGGAAAAATAATGAAACCTTGTTCTATTTTGCAACAAGGCAAGGAAGGAGGAAAAGCCTGGTTGGTAGCAGGGGAAAGGAAGGCAAGTAGGTTAATTCCTCGGGGCCTTTAAAAAACACGGGGATAATAGGGAACACAGAAAAAAATGTCCTAGTGCACCATTTCCTAGAGCATGTTCTGTGGAATCATATAATATGTTTTAAAAGGGTTGAGGGGGCTGGGCGCAGTGGCTTACACCTGTAATCCCAGCACTTTAGGAGGCTGAGGCTGGTGGATCACAAGGTTAGGAAATCAAAACCATCCTGGCTAATACGGTGAAACCCCATCTCCACTAAAAATACAAAAAATTAGCCAGGCATCGTGGGGGGTGCCTGTAGTCCTAGCTGCTCGGGAGGCTGAGGCAGGAGAATGGCACGAACCCGGGAAGTGGAGCTTGCAGTGAGCCGAGATCACGCCACTGCACTTCAGCCTGGGTGACAGATCGAGACTCTGTCTCAAAAAAAAAAAAAAAAAAGGGATGAGGGAACCCTAGTCTTATTCCATAGCTATAACATTGGGGGAAATTTTGGATGCAATAATTCAAAAGTAGTTCTTTAGTGTTTCTCAGCACTTTCAAGGTGTAATATGCATCATCAGTCTATAAGAGGAGCTATGGGGCTGGGCGTGGTGGCTCACGCCTGTAATCCCAGAACTTTGGGAGGCCGAGACGGGCAGATCACCTGAGGTCGGGTGTTCGAGACCAGCCTGACCAACATGGAGAAACCCCGTCTCTACTAAAAATACAAAATTAGCCGGGTGTGGTGGCACATGCCTGTAATCCCAGCTACTCAGAAGGCTGAGGGAGGAGAGCTGCTTGAACCCAGGAGGCTGAGGCTGCGGTGAGCCAAGAACGTGCCATTGCACTCCAGCCTGGGCAACAAGAGCAAAACTCTGTCTCAAAAAAAAAAAAAAAAAAAAGAGGAACTATGGTGTGTGTAGCAACTCTCCAACTTATAGTTGATGCTAGATGGAGCTCATATCTTGTGAAATGCACTTTGGAAACAATCCTAAGAGGTTAACTGGCAAAAACCCAGTTTCCTGGTTTCTCACTCAAGACATTTGGAGCTTGACTTCTTCCTCAAGCCATGAGAACTCTCGGTTGTGGCTTGGAGCTGCATTAGTTCCTATCAACTGGCTGATGAGGAAGAAAAAAGGATTTCCTATTCCACTCTGCTAGGGCAATATGTTCACTGCATTCCAAACTGGAACTCTCAATGTATGTCTATCATTGTACCACACAGAGAAGGTTAGAATAATTTTGTACTTTGAATATATTATTAAGTGAACATCTGTAAGTTAGTCTGGAACCCTAACCATCATTAATAACATTTTTGGGAAGAAAAATTTATTTCAGGTTATAAGGAAAACAACAAATAACTTTGTGGATGGTAAAACAAACAAAAAACACATAAAACATGACATCTACCATCTTAACCATTTAACATAATTAAGTACTCTTTAAAACACTTCAGTAACAGTGTAGTAATGTTAGCTGCATGCACTTTGTTGCACAACAGATAACTTTTCAACTTGCAAAATGGAAACTCTGTACTCATTGAACAACTCCCCCTTTCTCCCTCCCCCTAGTTTTCAGCAACCACAATACTACCTTCTAAGAGTTCAACTACTTTAGATACCTCATATAACAAGTAACTTTTAAAGTAAAACACAGTTGTACTCTTAGTACTAATTGCTTTTTTCAAAAACACCAAAAATATATTATGTGAATTAAAAACTTTATTTTCGAGACGGAGTTTTGCTCGTCACCCAGGCAGGAGTGCAATGGCACAATATCGGCTCACTGCAACCTCTGCCTCCCAGGTTCAAGCAATTCTCCTTCCTCGGCCTCCTGAGCAGCTGAGATTACAGGTGTGCGCCGCCATGCCCAGCTAAGTTTTGTATATTTAGTAGAGATGGGGTTTCACCATGTTGGCCAGGCTGGTCTCGAACTCCTGACCTCAGGTGATCTACCCGCCTCGGCCTCCCAAAGTGTTGGAATTACAGGCGTGAGCAACCACGCCTGGCCTAAAATCTTCTTTTTTAAGAAGTAGGCTAATTAGAAAAATAGACATTGAATTAGGTCTATAGTTTTAAACAACTGCCAATAGACTGAAATAGCTCTGTTAGCTGCCAAAAAGGTTTTCAAGGAAATGAAAAAGGTAGATACTTCCAATGCCAGTTGGATATAAAAAATTCACTTTAAAACATTTATTAAATGTTCACTTGATTTAGAAAAAGAAAAATTTTCCATTAAGAAATAGCTTCAATTAATGAACAGATTTTTAAAACTTTTTCTGAAATATAAAATAAACTTTAAATAATTTGTTATCTTTTTCATTTGTACCTATAAAATTTAGAAAGTTTACCTGTGAGCTACTGAATATAGGCTTTTTGCCAAGTCTTCGATCATCACCTTTGTCAAATGCAGCTGTAGAAAGAAACAGCAATTTATTTTTATAGGGAACATTACTATACCTTAGAAGTAAAGGAAAAATAGTATGTCAGCAGAAAAAAAGTCATATTTTAATGGAAATAACTTAATAAACCTGAAACCAATCTAGTATACAAAACAACTCCCTATTATATTTTAGATTTTTTTTAAAAGAACCTCATTTTCTATCTGACTCTCTGGCCCCTAGGTTTTATGTTATTAAAATTAATAAATAAGAACTGTACAATCTCACAGAGAAGATTCATACATTTACAAAAACACGAGAATTTTCTCAAACCGTGACATTTTAGATAATTGGTTTCATTTAGTTTTTCAAATTACAAAAAATTACAGATTATGGCAAATGTAACATTCTACAAGCTATTAAATATGAGAAAATGTTTATACTAAATGTAAAAATATTCTGAAGTTAAAAATATTTTCTGGTTTTGCAGATATATATAATGAGGAAGGAGGAAAGAGAAAAGAAAAAATAAGGTTCTATTGAAAATAAAACAAGAAACAATCTTCAAAATATCATTCTTTTTGTAATTGAATAAAAATTCATTTTATAAGTTAGGTTTATATGGGAATTTATTGCAGAACTCATGTCTATGCTATTCAAATAAGAATTTGAAAGATGTCAGGAAAATATGTAGGCTGAAATAATGATATGAGAGCTACAAACATAGTTTAGCAAATGTATTTCTTTCTTTTGACGGTTACTGGGCTTTAAGATTATTTTGAAGAAATATATGTAATCTCCAAAAATTATTTGATTTTTATTAAATCAGCTAATAAAAAATACATTAAATTATCTGTAACTACCATGCATCTTCCATGATCTCTACTCTATAGGATATGTGCTATAAGACAAAGCAGGATCCTGAAAATGGCACTATAGGACTGATTTGCAGTAAGCAAATGACTCTGCACAATAATACACAGGAAGAAATTAAAATAAAAAATTTCACCCCAAAGTCAGTAACTCAACTATGACATACGAAATGTAGTAACAGACAACCCAGAACCATTCCTTTATCTGGGTTTCCCGAGGAAGTAGTTATGCATAAGTCAGGACTCATAATTCAACTTATTTAAGATTAAAACATTATTATTACACTGACTCAACGTAATAGAATGAAAAGTCCTTTTTGACAATTCAAAAAGGATTGTTGGATTAGCTGGATAGTTGGATTACCAATAACATTTTATTTAAATATGGGTATTTACATGTATTTTTAATTAGCACTTTGAAGAATTAAAGAACACTGAAGCTCAACTTAACTATGAAATCCTCTAAAATAGAGAAAAACAAAGTTTCCTACTAATCAGGAGAGCGCTGAAAGACACCTACTGAAGGAATGCTGATCTTATCTTGTTACTTCACATTACATACATTTTGTAAAAATAAAACATTTAAAAATCAGCAGAGAAAGAGTCACAAGGAAAAAAATGTCCAATTTCTAAGACCTTCTTCTCATAATTTTTGTTTAAAATAATGGAATTTTTTTGAAAAGTGCTCTTCATATCACATCTAGCTACACTATCATGTAATGCTTATAATGTAAAAGCAGATCCTATGCTGATGATACCACTAAAGAATTTAACATATTTATGCATTCTCAAAATATATTTTAACAGATATGGCTTCCATGTTTTACAGTACTAAAATGTTTGCTTCATAAAATTTAGTCTCTTAAAACGTTGTAAAAACTATACACACTGGATATGTCAATATTTTTTCTAAGCCACCTGCTTTAACCCAAAAATACTCATGAAGCCATTTTTAGTTCCACACCCTCGAATTTTTATTTCGATATATATTTTTAAACACATGTTCTGAAAAATATACATCTTTTGTTTAATGCTAATGTTTCAGATGATACCTATTAAATGTCACGGACCACTGTGCAGCTCCTGAGGGACAGTCCGCAATAGCACACTGCACATCACTGAACCAATCAGTTGTGAAATAAAGCCATCTATTCCAAGCAAAACCACAAGAAAGCGTGTCTTACGAAAAAGATGGAAAAGCTTTATGACAAAACATATTTAAAAAGGAGGAAAAAGTATGTTTGATACTCTGTTCTATGTGGGCTACATTTTCTTACACTTTTAATCTCTTCACAAGAATGCTTGCAAGCAAATTTGCCTAGAACATTGTTGCTAATGTATAGTAAGATTAAAAATTGATATATATATATATATATATATATAAAGGAAATTAGTTTCATTTTCTAAGAACAGCTAAAAAGCATGATTTATTAAAACTGCCTAAACATATGAGCACCAGTTTCAGTTAGCATCCTATTATCCAACAGAAGCACACAAATGTTAACCTTTCCACTTATCAGAATGCCCTCAAAATATCTGCTGTCACAACAATCATTACATAAGAATTGAAATATCTCAAGGCTAACGTACCTGCTTGGATTTTCTGTTGATCATCTGTGCTCATCAGCTTCCAGCTTTCTGTGTGACGAACAGCATAGAAAGACTGAACCAGGAAGATCCACAGCTTATCACGCAGAGCCTGGATCTTGCACGTAAAACCCTGTGTTCAAGCAACAAATCAGCAGCTGGTGAGAGCCACATTGTCATAGCAACCAGTCATTATTCCTTTCAGAATCTACTTACTCCTAAGCTAGATCAATGATGTCATCATTTAGATTTTTAAGATCGTTGGGTACATGTTATTTATGAAGGCTTACTCATTAATAACAAAATTTTATAAATGAACACAAAGCTAAAAAATCTCATCTTTTCAACCAAACGTTATTTTAAAACACCAATGCCCTTGATATGAACACCTTCTGCAGCCTTTTCATATCAACTATGACATTACAAGGTCAAATGCTCTATGGAATAGTAATAAATATGATATATTTTAAAAACCATTTTTGTTGAACAAATACAGAATGCCAATAATTTGTAATTACCTAATTAATGGCCACTGATTAATTGTACTTAAAAATAAATATTTTAATTTTGCTTCACCGCCTAATTTTAAAATATGATTTTTTGAAAAGAAAAATTAAGATTATAAAAATAAAAGACACTGATGATTAAAAACTCTAAAATACACATTTTATATCTAAAAAATTTACTGTAGGACCAGGGAGAAATACTAGAGTTATGCTGTGCCAAATAATATTGCTAAGTGTCACACTACATTTAAAATTACCCAGCCAAAGTGCCAATTTCTAAACTTTTATAAAAAGTCCATTTGGAGACAAATGGAATTTTTAAAATTTAGTATTATAAAAAATTCCAAACATATACAAAAGTAGAGATCTTAATCCACCCCTAGGTATCCACTGCCTGGCTTCAATGACCCATGCAACATTTAAAATGCACATTCATTTAAAAATCTTAGTTCAAATATTGCATTATTTTAATAAATTTCATTACATTCAGTACCATTTCCTTTGTACTGTCAGAGTTCAGCAATGTGTCCAGAGCCATAAGAAGAGAGCAACTATTTTCAGTGGTGATATTTTCTTCAATTGCTTTGAAAATTGTGTCCAACAGATCGGCTGTGCTACTCATTGCTTGTGACTATAAAACACATAAATTAATATTTAAGAGGAATACATATAAAATGCACAAGAAATGTGAAAGTCTGGCGTTAACAGATCATTATAACTAGCTGTATGAAGTCAACCAGAAATATTTGTCTTTTCCCTTTCTTTTGTTAAAAAATCCACATATATGCATATACACACAGTTTTTAAAAGCCAACATAGCCCTAAATACAGAATCTAGAAATAAACAATAGGAGTTATTTATTCCGTGAATAATTTTAGAGAAAGTAGCTTCCCAATAAGACAGAGAATTCTGCATGGACCATAATTGTATTACTGGCCAAAACAGTATCTTTATGACTGGTTTCTAAAACGTGGCTTGCTGAGGGAGGACTAGAGTTGGCCAGAATTACACTGTGCCTTGCCAGGGCACTCAAACCTGTCCCTCTCGCCTTTCTCATCGTGTGAGCCAAAAATCCTGTCCATCACTGCCTTAAATCCTATGTAAACATGCCATCTGCCATGGAGTTTATTTAAATCACATTAATTTAATCAAAAGCAACCTGCATTTAAAAGCTCTTATATAATTGAAATCAGAACACAAAGATGGAACTAAATATAGGATATAACTTTAGACATAGTACCTGTAAGAGAAGAGCAAAATTTTCACTCTGAATAATCTTGGAGAAGTTTTCTACAATAAATGCAATACATTTTTCTTGAAGCTGAGACGCCATGGTCAGTGCCACTTCTGTCCACTTCACTCTGGGTAAACTGATGATTAGCCTGTCACTTTCCATCAGAAGAAAAGCAGCATTCTTATCATTCTTAGATTTAAAAAAAAAATTGAAAAAGTTAGATGGTATTACTGCTCATAAAGTAACTCTCTAAGCAAATCAAATACTTTTGTTGTTGTGGGATGTTTCCTGCAAAAACAAAATTCCAGGTAGCTAATGTCTTTGTCATTAGTTTTACATATAACGTTTATTTACTCATTCATTCAGAATTATTCAAAAGGGTAAAGTTTGAGCTAGGAAGAAACCAGCTTTAAAAGGTAGCTAAAACAGGTGGGGCACGGTGGCTCAATCCTATAATCCCAGAACTTTGGGAGGCTGAGGAGGGTGGATCACTTGAGGTCAGGAGTTCAAGATCAGCCTGGCCAACATGGTGAAACCCCACTTCTACTAAAAATACAAAAATTAGCCAGGCATGGTGGTGCACAGCTGTAATCCCAGCTACTCAGGAGGCTGAGGCAGGAGAGTTGCTTGAACCCGGGAGGCAGAGGTTGCAGTGAGCCGAGATCAGACCACTGCACTCTGGCCTGGGTGACAGAGCAAGACTCCGCCTCAAAAAAAAAAAAAAAAAGAAAGAAAGAAAGAAAAAGTAGCTAAAATAAACCTGACAGCAAAGTGATAATAACTAGAAAGAAAAATTTGAGTTCCCTAAGATTATCACTACTAAGGTAATTTCTGTGCTTACAGATACCATTCATAACTGCATGGCTCCACCAGCATAGCATTCACTCTTTTCTAACTACAAAATACGTGTTCTTTACGCAAATTTGGAAAGGTTAAAAATTACTTATAATTCCCAGGGATTTTCCTCCTCTTCTCTAATTAGGTAAGACTCTGCTGTTTATATTTTATTCATTTCATGATTCATTATTATACCATGGAAAAAAACATTCACAAATATTGATCTCTATGGAAAGTGGAATGACAATGCACAAATACCATGTACTCCAAGGAAAAGGAAAAAAAGGCAACTTATAGATTACTGTATCTTATTCATGTTTTATTTCCAGTTCTTAAAGCAATACTTAGTAAATAACTATTTATTAATTAGTTACTTGATAGACTGGTAATTGAAAAACATGGCCACAAATTCCATCCACCAAGAGGTGAATCTATTTCCTCAGTCTTGAATCTAGACTACTAGCCTTTTCACTTGCCTTAACCAACAGGGTTGATGTGCAAGTTCTAGAGCCTAGGCCTCAAGAAGGCTTGCAGCTTCAGTCTTTACCTTCTGAGAATGCCTAAAGAAGCCTGGTAAGGAAGAACATTTGGTGCAGGAGGACCAGACCCCCAGCTCAGTCCCCAGCTGAATGCAGCCGCCATAGACAAGACCAGCAGAAGAATCACCCAGTGAACTCACAGAATTGTGAGAAGTCTTTTCAAGCCACTTAGTTCGGGCGTGGTTTGTTACATAGCAATAGATTATCATTGATAAATCTGGAAATGACTGAAATACCTTAACACAGACAGCATGATGTGGACTTTACACAGCTTCTGTTTTTTTTGTTTTTTTTTTTAGGTCCAGAAGCACTACGTCTTCCCTGATACCATACATCTACATCAGATTCCTTTTACACACACTATAAGAAAATCTGTCGTTTTTTGTTAGAGCACATAGTTCATTTGTAATTAATCAAACATGAACATTACTATATGATTAATGTCTGTCTCCCTCACTAGGCTGTATGTTCAATGAGTGTAAAACTACCTCTGTTTTAGCTCACCAATGTACCCTCAGGGCCTAGTATAAAACTGGGTTATAGTAGACACTAAAATTTATTTGCTGATCTTTTAACGTGATTGGAGACAGAGTCTATCAATCAATCTCTAAGATAACAAGTTTAATCTTTCAACTTCAAAACTAAAAATTTTAACCATTTACTAATAATTCTTTTTTTTTCTTTGACACAAGTCTTGCTCTGTCACCCAGGTTGGAATGTAGTGGCTTGAACATGGCTCGCTGCAGCCTCAAACTCCTGAGATCAAGTGATCCTCCTGCCTCAGCCTTTCAAGTAGCTGAAACCATAGGTGCATGTTTATTTTTTAAAAAAGTATTGGCCAGGCACGGTGGCTCACACCTGTAATTCCAGCACTTTGGGAGGCCGAGGCGGGCAGATCACGAGGTCAGGAGATTGTGACCATCCTGGCTAACATTGGCATCCTTACTAAAAATACAAAAAAAATTAGCTGGGTGTGGTGGCAGGCACCTGTAGTCCCAGCTACTTGGGAGGCTGAGGGAGAAGAATGGCGTGAACCTGGGAGGCAGAGCTTGCAGTGAACCGATATTGCACCACTACACCCCAGCCTGGGCGACAGAGCGAGACCCCGCAGCTGGAATGCAGTAGTGCGATCTCGGCTCACTGCAACGAGGTCTTGCTGTGTCACCCAGGCTGGAGTGCAGTGGTGCGATCGCAGCTCACTGCAACCTCCACCTCCCCAGTTCAAGCAATTTTTGTGCCTCAGTCATGTGAATAGGTTGGATTACAGGTGCATGCCACCATGCCCAGCTAATTTTTTGTATTTTTAGTAGAGACGGGGTTTCACCACGTTGGTCAGGTTGGTCTGAAACTCCTGGCTTCAAGTGATCCACCCGCCTCAGCCTCCCAAAATGCTGGGATTACAGGTGTGAGCTACCATGCCCAGCTCTAAAAAAATTTTTGTAGGGCTGGAGTCTTGCCATGCTGTCCAGGCTGGTCTTGAACTCTTGGCTTCAAGTGATCCTCCCACCTCAGCCTCCCAAAGTGCTGGGATTATAAGTGTGAGCCACTGCACCCAGCCAATAATCCTTAAAAAATGTATTATATTCTTCCACTGCTTTGAGTAAAAGAAAAAAAAGTCATACTTTGCTATAATTCGTCTCATTTTTAGAACCATTGTCGTTTCCTCTTCCAGTGACTTCCTGAGTAACTGTGCAATTACTAAGTTTTAGACAATAAGCTCAATCAGTTCTACTGCAGGCACTGCTCTGGTAAGGAAGTCAAATGTAAGGTATTTAAATAAATTTGGCAGGTATCTACAAAGTGCTTACTATATACATAATGTGATGTGCTCTGACAGTAGTATTTTTAAAAAAACCACAGATATAGAGTATAACCATCATAATTTAGCTTGGAAAACTACTATATGGACATAGTTAAATAACATAGGTGATACATGATCTTATTCCATACTCATCTGAATATATGATAAACATTAAATGCTAGAGTACCTCGAGATTCAAAGAAAAAAAAAGTAATACTTTTAGACCAAACACTTAAATTTTAATTCAACAGTTAATACAATCACATAGTTTTAAAATTTCAAATATAGGGCAACCCACTCGGGTCCCCTTCCACGCTGTGGAAGCTTTGTCCTTTCACTCTCACAATAAACCTTGCTACTGCTCAAAAAAAAAAAAAAATTCAAAATGTAAAAAGGACATTCTACGAAAAGTCTTCCTCTCCTCCCTGTCCCCAAACCATCCATTTTACGACCAATATTATTTTTTCCCTTATCTTTCCAGTTATTTTATGCATATACAAATAAAACATATATGTAATTTTCTGCTTATTTATCCAAATGAAGGCATTAATATGCACAGTACTCTGTATCTTCCCTTTTACACTTAGCACACATCTTGAATATTCTTCTTACCAGCATACATATTTTTTCTGTTTTAATAGCCATGTAATTGTCCATAATATAGACATATCACAAGTCATTTAACCAGTCCTGTGCTTAAAGACATTTACATTGTTTTCAGTTTTGCTATTATGTCGTAATGACTTACCTTGTATACAACATTATTTCACATATATGTGAAAATATCTACAAGATACATTTCTAGAAGTAGAATTGCTGGGTCAATACTACTTCTCTTAACCTGGATTCTGCCTAAAAATTGAGCCTGAGAAACAGGCTTATATGCAGACAGTTTATTTGTGAAGTGATCCTGGGGGATCTGAGGTGCTGGAAGAGTGCAACAGGGAAGAAAGGAAGGAAAGCCAATTCATGGGTGTATTTTCTATCTCTCTACTACTCAAAGTGGCGTCAGCTAGCCAGAGCCTGTTAGAAATACATAATCTCTGTATCCTCCCTTGACTTACTGAATTAGAATCTGCATTTAAACAAGACCCCCAAGTGTTTTGCAGATACATTAAAGTTTGAAAAGCACTAATACAGAATTCACTATTGTAGGCAACTGGGACTCAATCTTGTTCGGGACCCTCTGAAGAGCTATGAAGGACACACTTTGAATTATCCATCCAACAGACAGAACAAGGAAACATTAACCACTGGCTCTCTTCTACCACTGGTCAAGGCTTTCCCTCAGGGATGTTAACTCTCTTTCACCTCCAGGTTTACACAGGTTCAGAATTGCTGAGCTGCAGGTATCTCATGTAGAGTAGCAGTGAAGCCTCAGGACAGAAAGTGAGAAAGATGTGTATGTGATGTGGCTGAGGGAAAGTGCTGTCAGAATCACATCCACGGGCAGCTAGATGCTGCAGCAATAGTTTGAGTACAAATATGGGCCAAGAGGCTATAAGGTGGGACACCAGGGGTACCCAAAACACTGCCAATATACAATCAATGGAGCACTGTTTTTCAAGTGGTAGACTCCTCCATTGCAACCCAGAGAAATGTATTTAGTGGTTCACAATCAGCACTAGAAAACAAAAGAAAGAAGGGGGTGGGTGGGTGAGAAAGGAAGGAGAAACATAGAAAACACCAGTACATCATATGAAATAAGGCTAAGAGATCTTTTGTGAAACTTGTGTTTCTGTCCTATATGTGTTAGTGTATTGGGTTGCAATGAAAACAACAACAAAACAAACAAAAAACATCTTTTTATTCTGGGTCACAAATAAAAAGCTTAGGAAACACAGAAAAAGGTGTGCTAATTTACGACCTTCCCAGGAATAAATCAGAATATTTATCCCATATATTCTTACTA